GTGTGTGTGTGTGTGTGTGTGTGTGTGTGTGTGTGTGTGTGCTATTTTTAAATATACCTTATGTTTTAAATTGTGTGTATGGGAGGGTGTAACTGAAAATTGAACCCAGGACACTACCACTGAGCCATATCCCCAGCCCTTTTTATTTATTTTTTAAAATTTGTTCTAATTAGTTACACATGACAGTAGAATGTACTCTTGACACATTGTTCACAAATGGAGTACAACTCCTTCCTCTGGCTGAACATGGTGCAGAGTCTCAACTCCTGTGTAATTACATATGTATACAGGGTAATAATGTGTCCTCAGCCTTTTTTCTATTAGAGACAGAGTCTCCGAGTTGCTTAGGGCCTTGCTAAGTTTCTGAGGCTGGCTTGGCACTTGGAATCCTCCTGCCTCAGGCTTCCAAGTTGCTGGGATTACAGGCGTACCACTGTGCCTGGCTTAAATGTATTTATTGTATTTTTAATGGATTGGAGGAAACATTTGTCAACTTCACCATTTAACAAATATTTGATAACATTTCCTTTTTTTCAGTGCTAAGGATGGAATCCTGGGCCTCATGCATGCTAGGCAAATGCTCTCTCTGCCGCTGAGCCAGATGACAACCCCAGCCCACTCTCTTATGCTACTTTAGTGATACCACAGCTTTTTACAAAACTGATCTTGACAGGGTTGTAGGTAAACTAGGTAAAATGCAGATCCACATTTTAGGACCTATTTTTCTTTTGCATAGAAAACAATAGTGTCAACTGAGGTTTTTGTTTTTGTTATCTTTTGCTCGGGTTAAGAAAAAGTACAGATAATAAAAATAATGGATAATGTAAATATACCTGCAGTTAAATTTGTGATACATGCTACCATGTGACCTCTTTAGTAAGTGATTTATCTTCCTAATTGTTCCTGTAGAGTTGGGGAAAGTTCTAAATAATCATAGTGATGTCCTTTAATAACCTTGGAGCAGGGCTGGGGATATAGGTCAGTGGTAGAGTATTCACTTAACATGCTTAAGACCCTGGCTTGGATCCTCAGTGCCCCCAGAAGAGTCTCTGTGCCATAACATTTCCTAATTATTATTCATGGTTTATTATTCATTAGGTTTGCATTCCTAGAATGTACCAGCAGATTTATTTCTATAGTACTGTTTTTTTCTCATGTAGTAAAAAGTTCTCAATCCTCTTGTTTTGTGGCAAGAGACACATCCATTTCTTTTTTTCCCCTTTCTGCCAGCATTTGTAAAAGGACACATCTATTGTGAAGCCATACAGTTTTACATTGTCCTTGTCATAGTAGTTAACTTAGAGAAAAAAATGTTGACCAAAGAATTTCATCCAAAAACTTTTGCAAAGGCAAGAAGCATTGAAGTGTTAAGTTATTAGGTGTTACTCCCCTTCACACAGGGGCCAGCCTGCGGATGAGTCAGAAAGCACTAGACTCTGCTGTGATACCAGAATCTAGAAAATGGAGGAGAAACCATGGATTGATAACATCAGGAGACTAACTGATAGGAAGGGTGTTCCCTCACTTTATTTACCTTGAAATGTGAAGGTGTGACGAGCTTTCTGAAAGCTTTAGGTGTGAGTCACCTTATTTTCTTGACAAATGTTAGTGTTTATGTTCCAGGAATGTATTTTGGAAACAGTTTTAATTATTAGAGGTAAGAGGTAGTAAATTTTTATTTTAATTTAGTTTAAAACCAGTGAGTGACTGTAAGCAAGACAGACGGATGTTTTAGATAGAGCAAAAACAATGGGTCCAGGTAGCTTTGGGCCTTTTGGGAAATGAACTGACATATTTGTAAACTGTTCACAGTGTCACGATGGGGACTTTCTCTGTGGTGCTTGTGGGTGTCCCAGTGGTGTATCAGTATTTTCTGGTAATAATGGGTAGTTGAAAGACTGGTTGGCAAACATGGGTTTAAAAAACACGTGCTCTACCACTGAGCTCTACCCGCGGCTAAAACCTCTACTTGGGACTTACTGAGGTTTTTGTTTGTGTTTTTTTGGGCGAGGTGCTGGGCATGGACCCCAGAGCTTCAGAAATGCTAGGCAGGTGCTCCGCTGAGCCCTACCCCTAGCCACTTAACTGAGCCCTTATTATATCTGTAAGAGGGTGATTCAAGTTAGGTAGCATTTCCCAAGCTTAAGTGACTGGGGCACTCTTCAAGGAAGGCTGATGAACCTTTCTTAGTTTTCCCTACTTGAGGAAATGCCGTGCGGATCCCACATTAAGTTCCAGGTTCCGTTGGTGGACTGGGTGAAGCCAGTCCTCAGTCTTGACTAAGAACACTGCAGTGAATTGGCCTTGGGAGGGCAGAGGTGTCGGGAGGCAGACTTGAAAATGACAACAGGAAGATGAGGGGAGACACTGGTGGAGGTGTCTTCCTTCTTATCTGTGTTCCCTCAGTGCCTCCCTGCAGTAATTATCCCCTTTGCCCACTAATTAGGGAGCTTCTGAAGCAGGCCCAAGCCTTGCAGTCCCCGGGGTCCAGCACCTGCTAAGCAGGTAAACACTTCTTGCACTAATTGGCCAGTGGTAGGCTGTGCATTTGATGTATTAATAAAGCCTGTTTCTACCTTAACACAGGGGAGGTTCTTATCTCTGTACTTTTTACTTGGGGCAGTGCTGAGCTCCAGGCGGGGCCTTGCACGCTGGGCAGGCACACCACCTGGGCAGGCACACCAGCACACACACTACCTGGGCAGGCACACCAGCGTGGAGCACGGCCGCCGCCTGCCTGTTCCTCACGTGGTGCCCCCACTTGCATCAGACCTTCCTGTCAAAGTCCTTTTTATATATTTTGCTATTGATTCTTGCCACATCCCATGAGATGGTAGTTCCTTTTACGGGAAAAGAAACTCAGATGCTTTCTACTAGTGGTCGGAATAAAGGCTGAGCATGTCTCCGTCCTCCACGGCCTGGCAGAGTGAGGAGAGCACTGCTGTGGGTCTGGACTCCAGGCAGGCTCTGGGCTGAGCCACTGCAGGGCAGTGCCCAGGGAGGCCTGGGCACCGTGGAGCAGGCGAGGCCTGCGTCTCTGAGAGTGCCCTTCAGAGACCAGCAGTGGGGCATAGTCTTGTGCCATTCTTCTGTTTTGGAATCTGATAATGAGGCTGCTGACGAGGGACCATCTTCTTTATTAAGGGGAACACTACTGTGCTTGTGTGCTTCTGTGCCGTGTGTTTTCAAACTGGGTCCCTCTGTTACTTTTTTTTTTTTTCCCTAAAATCACTATGTTGTGTTTGTAGTTTGGAGCTGAGTTTCGTCGGTTTTCACTGGAAAGATCAAAACCTGGAAAATTTGAGGAGTTTTATGGCCTCCTGCAGCATGTTCATAAGATACCCAATGTGGACGTGCTGGTGGGCTACGCCGACATCCACGGGGACTTACTGCCCATCAATAATGACGACAACTATCACAAGGCCGTGTCCACAGCCAACCCGCTGCTTAGGATCTTCATACAAAAGAAAGGTACGTATCATTGTTTAGAAAAATGCTTAGAAATAGAAGTAGTGTATTTCCCCCGTTTGATTGGATATACAGCCTTGCTACAAACTTACTGAATAAAGATTCTAGGTAAAACCTTTTTTTTTTGGTACCAGGCATTGAACCTGGGGGCACTTAACTACCGAGCCACATCCACAACCCTTTTTAAATATTTTATTTAGAGACAGGGTCTCACTAAGTTGCGGATGCTGGCTTTGAACTGTGATCCTTCTCAGCCGCTGGGATCACAGGTGTTCACCACCATGCCGGCCTGTGTGGATCTCTCTACCATGTTAATGGACAAGAAGGTCAAAACGTGTGATATTGTTGGTTTAATTAGTATTTTTACACTTAGACATTGAGTGTACTTTCGAAAATTTGTTTTTAATTGTTTTTATTTTAACTTCTTGGGCTTTTTTAAAAATAGAAACTAGAAATTTATGAATCTTCACCTTCTTTTTTTGTAATATTTATTTTTTAGTTCTAGTTGGACACAATACCTTTATCTTATTTACTTATTTTTATGTGGTGCTGAGCACTTGCTAGGCGAGCCCTCTACAGCTGAGCCCCGGCCCCACCCCATCTCAGCTTCTTGACTGGATTGCTGTCCGCGTGGAAAGACGGTGACGAGAGCTTGGCAGTTGGGTGGTGACCCACTGTAAGTGCTCTGTCACCCACTTCTTCCAGCTCTCCGTGTCGTTACAGGGTGGGGGTAATTGTGTGGGCTGCTGGAGCTCGAACCCAAGGCACTCTATCCTGAGGTCTCTGAGTTGCGAAGAGTCTTTCCCAGGTTGGCCTCGTGCTTGTGGTCTTCTGCCTTAGCCCCCAAGTGGCTGGGATTGCAGGCTTGGGCCCATAGTCAGCCGAATATGATATCTCGTGGGTGACGCAGATTACTTAGTTCAGAGCAGCGCCCTGGCTTACAGTTGGCACCCAGGAAATGTCTTCTTTCTTTTCCTTTTTAGGATGCTTGTCACAGAAATAGTATAAAACTAAGTTAATTGTCTGGAAAATGAGGTAGCAAGTCATGGATTCAGAGATGTGTAAGCGTAGTCTCGTAAAAGAACATTTGCTGTGACTGTCTGGCAGGCATTTTCAAATGTTTTTGGAGTCCCAAAATTTTTCGAACTTTATAGCCTCCTGTGTGTGTGTGTGTGTGTGTGTGTTTGCACACAAAGTGGGCAGGGTAGGCATCATGGTGTGTGCCATTTCTGTTTAGTAAGAAGTTTGAGGTTTTTTAAGAAGCCAGCATGACAGCGTGGAGCCCAGTGTTGGGATAATGGAGCCTTTAGAACATAAAGGTTGTAAACCAACCCAGAAAGTGGTTTGAGAAAAGGGTGGTGATCACCCTGAAGGTAAAACTTTGTTTATTTGGACCACTCCGCTTTGAGATCCCACTGATAGTGTATCTTTGCTTTTCTGGGTTTGGAGAAACTAAAACCCGTCATCAAATAAATCTCCAAGGGTAACTTCTGTCCCTGTCACTTGACTTACTGGCAGAATCTTTCAGAATCTCCTGAGGCAAATGTCAGAGCTGTTCAGCTGGGGTGTGGTGTGGCCAGGGCCTGGCCTCGGGAAGATGGTTCTGGCTGCTCAGGATGGGCCAGGAGGGTAGTAGCCTTGGGACAGAGAGCCAGGAGCAGGTGGTAGACAGCAGACCCAGGAGGGGGAGAGGCGCGGAAAGCCCTGGACAAAGGTGCGCCGTGAAGTGGCTGAGTCAGGGCGTCACACCGGCTGGCGCAGAGAAGGGGCCGAGTCGAAAACCAGCAGAGGGTGAAGGAGAGATTGATTTAGGAAAGAAAATTTGGTCCTAGGACAAATAATTTATCAGGCTGATGGGTCGAACATGCTGTCCAGAAGACTGGGGCCAGGATGAGGACCTGGAGCCTGCTGGACTTGAAGGTGGCGGACACGGGGCAGGTGAGAGTGGGCGAGTAGGTGGCGGGCCTGTGCAGTGAAGACCAGGCTAGAACCCTGGAAGGCGAGACCAGGATGCTGGAGGACGACAGCGCGTCCGGGAGTGACGAGGACAAAGCAGTTGAAGGGAACTGGTCATCTTAGGCAAATTAACTTGGGTCATTTTGGTTGAATAATGATCTTCTCTTATTAGCACTTAAAATTTTTATTAAAAATTTAGTTGCTGCTTATTCAAATGCAGAATGATTTTTTAAACTACAACTATCAGACAAAATTTTGCTGGATCATCCCCTTTGTTAGCGAAAGACTGTCAGAGTCAGGTTTCGAACACATCACATGTTTTACTCCTAGAAGGTTAACACTTTCATGCCCATGGAGTCCTATCATCTTTTAAAGTTCTCATGCCAGGTGTGGTGGCCTGTAATCCCAGTGGCTCTGGAGGCTGAGATAGGAGGATCATGGGTTCAAAGCCAGCCTCAGCAACTTAGCAAGGCCCTAAGCAACTCAGTGAGGCCCTGTCTCTAAGTAAAATATAAGAAAGGGCTGGGGATGTGGCTCAGTGGTAAAGCACCCATGAATTCAAATTCCCAGTACCAAAAAAATAAAAAGTTATCTTCTGCTATTTCCTTTTAAAATTTTTACTTACTGCTTGGTGTGATCTTTTTAATTTTTTTGTGGTGCTGAGGATCGAACCCAGTGCCTCACACATACCAGACAAGTGCTCTACCACTGAGCCACAACCCAAGTGTTTCTGTGGGGTAAAGGTAGGTCTCCTAGAGCTTGATTTGGAGAGAAATGAGCCGTCCGGGCCAGGTGTGGCGGTGCACACCAGTCTCGGCAACTCTGGAGCTTGAGGGGGGGGTCACAAGTTCCAGGCCACCCTGGGTAACTTAACAAGACCCTGACCCAAAATAAAAACTGAAAAGGGTGGGGATGTAGCCTAGTGGTAGAGCGCCCTTGGGTCCTGTCCCTGTACTGCAGAAGAGTGGGGGCAGGGGAAACAGGCAGTCCCTTCAGCAGGAAGGGTTTTGTGGTCCTCCAGATGGAACCTAGGCCCCTGCATATGCTAGGATAGTGCTTATTTTTTTTTTAGTTTTCGGTGGTCACAACATCTTTATTTTATTTGTATGTGATGCTGAGGATCGAACCCAGTGCCCTGCGCATGCCAGGCGATCGTTACCGCTTGAGCCACATCCCCAGCGCCAAGATTTTTAGTTTTGAGAATATAAATATGGTGACCAGGAGGCTGACACAGGAGGATCGCAGATATGAGGCCTGCCTCAGCAGCTTAGTGAGGCCCTGACCTAAAATAAAAACTGAAAGAAAAACAAAGCTAGTCAGGGGGATCTGAGGATGTAGCTCAGTGGTAAAGCACCCTAGTTTCAATCCCAGTACTAAAAAATTTTAAATGTAAATGTGATGCAAATATGACTTCAGCAAAAAATGAAAGTAGGTTGGTTCATTCATTCCTGTTTAAAAACTCCTTGATGGCAGCCAGGTGTGTTGGCACATGCCTGTGATCCCAGCAACTTGGGAGACTGAGGCAAGAAGATTGTAAGTTCCATGCCAGCCGCAGCAACTCAGTGAGGCCCTAGCAACTTAGCAAGACCCTGTCTCAAAGTTAAAAATAAAAGGGGCTGGGGATGTGGCTCAGTGGCTAAGTGCCTGGGCTCAGCCCGGGCTGCCTGCCTTCTGTCCCTCCCTGGTGCAGTTGATGGCCCTGTGCTGGGCTTGCTCCTGCCTGGCTGCCCTGCTGAGCCCAGCCAGCTTTGTGGGGTCTCTTTTGACCACCCTCCTACCTCTCCCGCTTTCCCTGTGAAGACGTGAAGCGCGTCTTTGAGCGTGCTAGCTTGTGTTTTCTGTCTTGTTTACCGCCACGTCCCAGCATCTGAATTGGTGACAGACTTACACTGTGCAGTGTGATTCATGTCCGTGCTTTTTTTCTTTTAAACAAAGATAAACAGATGGTTAAGTAGAAAGCTGATTTTATGAAAACCTTAATGAACAGTGAATTCAGGAAACTAATAGAAAAGGTGACATTAAGTACAGTTACATTTGACTGCTTAATTACAGCACATTCTGTTTCCTTAGCTGTTGATATTCCAATTAAGGATCAATTGAGCAGCAGTTGTACTTGATGTGGTACCAAGGGAGGTTTTTTAAAATGATTATTTGTGTGTGTGTGTGTTGCTGGGGATTGAACCCAGGGCCTTGTATATGCGAGGCAGGCACTCTACCAACTGAGCTATATCCCCAGCCGAAATGTGATTTTTTAAAAAAAAGAAATTCCAAAACCATTTAGATTTTGAAACCGTGTCATCTTTTAAAATTTGATACTCTACTAAAAATGTGTCTTTGAAGTGAAAGCTAGTAATCGAATGTGTAAACTCCTTTATAGACCCAATGCAAGATAGCATTGTTGCATATTTTGAAGTTTTATGTTTTATAACAATTTATTTAAAGAAAAAACACTCCATTTCGTGGGCTGTTATCACAGAAACAAAAATAAAACAAAAAACATATCTTAAAAGTTATTTTCACAAAGAAGATTCTCAACTTTCGACAAGCACCCCTGTTGGAGCATTAGAGTTCATCCTGATGTATTTGGGAGAAGAGAAGGACAAAATAGTTTTCTCTCTCATTTTTTATGCTACAACTATGCACTGAACAGTTTTAGGAAAACATTCTTTTAAAAATACCCTTTTTTAAAAAGACAAAACCCAGGTCATTTCTGTAGGTTGGGAGACAGCCAGGAAAGTGGGTTTTTTCAAAGTTTCCCAGTTGTGATCAGCCAAGTTGGACCCAGTAACTTGTCAGAGCACCCCCAGCCCTGCCTCATCGAGCCAGAACATCTGCACCCAGACTTTTTGCCGCATCACTGTCTGTTTTTACATATCCAACAAGAGTGCTCACATCTTGGATTGTTCAGGAGTTTGTTAGAAATGCCAGCAGAGCCTTGCTTTTAACTTGGTCCCACTTAGGACCTGTCCTCACAAGGATGTGCCCTTTGTGGCCTGAACACCTGTATCTAGGTCTAGGCCATGACATCATCTGAGCCCTTGACCTTG